AATTGCTTTTTGTAAGCAACGGTAACAGTTGTTGATTAATTAAATAATTTTATATGTTGTTATTTAATATAAATGTGTTTATAATTACAAATTTATAAATTATATATGTATAACAATGAAAGACTTGAATAATTGTAAGAAATTTTTATAGCAAATTGCCCCAAACTAGAATCAGTGAGAAATTCTTGCAAGAATTCATTCATTTATTCCCGTGTGTGTGCAGCTTATGAATTTTAAGAGAATGCAAAATAAACGTAAAATTTTAACAATAAAAAAAATTTTTTTTTTATTATGTACTTTTCATTGTTGCAACACAACCACTTGATTGCATATAATCTAAAAATTTTAAGCACTTAGATACTTACTATTAATACCCGTATATAAAAATATAATTCAAACACAATTTGATAAAATTGTATTGAAAGTCTATTGCTCAGCTTACTTCATACTCACTGTATTATCAAAGTTCATATTTTATAGTAGAATTATTGCCGATATTTTAATATACATATACGAATATTTTGATAATAACCTAACTAGACGATTACCAGAACCTCTCAACATCTATCAGATTTATTGAAATGTAATACAAACATTTAAGTATCAAATTCGAGTTTAATAGATTAATAAGAGTATATTTATAAAATTGAATATTTTTAATAATAGCAATTAATTAAGTGCACTTGAAATACAAATACAATAGACGGTACTTTAAATTTAAATTTCCAATAATTCTGTGTATTACAATTTTTTAGGCTTTTAAAATTTCCGTGTTCTATTACGCATTCATAGATATATAACTGTTCTTAAAAATATTTTATTAGCATTAATTTCCTGCTAATAAAAACTCCTAAATTATAGAAGTAAAGTATAGGTGCTAAATTTTTCGATTTTTTCTACTAATATGAAAAATTTCTAAATGAACACAATATAATTGTATAAGTACAATATTTTAATTTATTCGAAATTCCCCATTATTCAAAAATACTCAAATAATTTTAAATAGTTTTTCTGAATTCTCATAATATTAAAAATGACCTAACACTTCTGTAATTGCAAAATATTTATCAATTCTCAAACAATGTAATATTTAAAACACAATGTATAAAAAATATTTTTTCTAATAAAAATTCTGAATAAAATCAACTCAATTAAATTGAGAATATATTTTGGTATAGAAACAAATTTATTCTCACAACAATTTTGTCTTCTAAGTTCTAATAAATAATGTTAAAAACAAAAACCCCCTAAATCACAAATTACATATTGTATATAGAAACCAATAGGAACTATGAAAAATTCAATATTTTAAAATTTCAATAAAAATTTTTCCCTAAACTCTCAGTACTTATATAGAATTACAAAATAATTAACAAATGTTCTTGGATTTCGTAAGATTTTATTCTATACTTATGTAACAAGAATAATTCAAGCAATAAATTTTTAAAATTTTTAATTTCAATTTAATAAAGACATCATTGTAATTAATGATAGTATAATAAATAATAATAATTTCAAAATTTATATTTTCATTTAATATAATTAATGTTATAAGTAGATGGTTTTAGTCACATAAATTATTTGATTTTATTTTGTTTCGAATTTTTTTGCTTTGAAATTAACATCTGTTCTACATATGGATAAATAATGAAGTTGTATTAGTGTTATTAAGTGGGACTATACTTAAATGGGATTAAATTCAAAATGATTAATTGGACAATACTTAAATGGGATAATGAGAAATTTTCTAAATATAATTATAAGTACATGGAAATATCATTTATTAGAAAATTATCTAATCTCATTAAGAAATGGTACTCATAATTACGACATCAAACGCTAGAGTTTTTTCTATAATCAAAATTTTCATCTTCAACAGCAATGTGTGACAAAATTTTCTTTCATTATTGCATAATTCAATGTAATACAACATAAACCCCTACTTTTATATAAGTATAAATAAAACTAAATGTAAATGAAATTTAAAAAATAAATTTATTTTTATAGAATATTTATTTCAAATTTATTTCAAATATAAAAATGAAATATTCCGAGGTCATAGCGCATGCATATTTCTCTAATTTTAACCTCCCCCGAAATTTTCACTCTAATTTAAATTATTATAAATTCAAACCAAACAAATATTTTTGTAACAAAATCTACAATAGAAATTGCAAAAATTTAAAATGTTATTTATTCATTGAATTCAATTATTTTAGGTGAAAATTATTGCAAAAATCAATATTATTGTTTATTTTGTTTTCTAAACATAATAATAAAAACGTAAATATGTGCAATATGTATGTATGTACATCAAAATTTAGTATACAATATATTTACAAAATCAAGTGAAGCAAACAAAATTATACTAGACTTTTATTAGCATAAATTAAAAATTCAATACAAAAATAATTTTTTATTTAAAAACAAAAAAATTAAATATATTTTTTATTTTGTAAACACCTGTTGCATTTAATTTAAATATTACAAAATTTAATACGACATCTATGAACAATAATAAAAATATTTTCATCATTCTTCAGATAATTTTATTAACATAATTAAATTATTGCGCTATTTCTGCAAAATATTTTATGTTAATTAATTACGATGAAAAATTTGTTTGTTTATTTAATGAAAATTTCAAGAAAAAAGGGAATTTATTTAAGTACGATAATTTGTAAGAGTATTGTAGTGAAATATGAAATTATTTGGATTTAAAGAAAAACTAACTTAAAGATCTTATAAAAATGTACTTGAAGATTACTACTTATTACTTAATATAGGAAGATTTAAATTTGGCTACAAAGTCACAACATTATTATAGTCTTTGATATTATAATGAAAGTTTCATATAAGAATTTGAATAATTTTTGCATTTCTTATATTTAGAAAAATCAGTCAAGTATTCAATTTGAAAGAGACAACACAATTGCTTAAATGGAGGTGTTATATAGTAAAATCTTTACAACATCTCTTATGCCGAAAGTATAGAATCTTGTATGAACAAAGTTATTCTCATTTTTAACTAAGTCATAGTGTTCTTGGTTTTGGTCCACAAATAACATAAATAAATTGACATAGAAAAAATTATAGAACAACAATTTTTTTTTCAAGAATTTTTCTTAGTCCTTAATGAATAAGTCCCAAATAAAAGTATTTTTAGAATTTTATATTTTATAATACTTTGACCTACATACATTTTTTTTATGACTATATTGTATCACGTTTTTACTATACAATTTAAAGTTGTACTAAATTAACATAATTTACTATTTCATCACAATTTATATAAGTATGTATATTTATATTTTATATATTTAACATTATGCTATAAACTAGGAGCTTTTTAAATCTATTTTTATAAAAATAAAAATATATACAATAGCTATACATCCATTAAGTTCATTAACATGTTACGAGTATACTATAAAAATTTCATTTTACTATAAAATTTTTTTTTTATTCAAAAGTATTTTTATAATTCAAATTTTTGTAATTTTTTGGCAACACTATTTTTTTTAAAAAAAAAAAAGATTTTTCAATATTGTTATAAGCGAAGAATTTCTTTTCAAAATTCTACACGCACAATTTCAGATTTAAATTTTATATTAGGGTTTGGTTGATTCAAAATAATAAAAAGTAAATATTCTTAAAATAATTTCTGAATTCATTGCTCACATGTTTAAACCGTATGCTTTTATTAAATAAAATTTCCCAGCTTTTGATCAAAACGTTTTAGGGAATTTATATTTTTTTTCAGGAAATTTTAATTATTTTGCACAATTTTATGAAAATTTAAGCTTGTTAATTTAATAACAAATAAAATTTTATTGGCAAAATTGTAAAAATAAAATATTGCAAATATATAAGTAATTGTTTTTATAGTAATAAAAATATCACGTTTTTAAAACAATTACTTATCAATATTTTAATATGCAAATATTATTCTGCTATAGACAAATTTTTTAATTGGATTATATATGAATTTAAAAAGTCATACTATTTTCAATAAGAACAATTCATCTTACAAATAGAATGCATGTAGTATAAAATATTTATCACTATAATTTTTGTTGATTAGATGCCTATCTATATATACATAAATAATGTTAACAATAAGATTATCAATTTTCTCCACTGTGAAGTTTTATCACATTTTTTCCACTACTTATGCATCATTCTAAAATTTACTAAACTTATCAGCTAGCAGAATAAAGTTGCTGAATATGTGGACTGAAGTTTATATAACTATGTATTTAAAAAAAAAACATAACGACTTCGTCAGTCGGCACATGAAAACTACATTGTACGAATATTTATTTAGTAGTCACTCACTTTCATTTCACCCTGTGATTAAAAAGTTGAAACCTAGAATAACCCTCAAAATGAAACAAAAAAGGTGAAAAAAGTTAACAGTTATGCGAATGTGACTGACTACATAAAATCATACCAGCAAATTCATAAATATGTATGTATACTTAACATAATATCCTAAAGAATCAGCTGAAGAAAGAACGCAAAATGCTCACATACACATGTCTTTTTGCCACATAATGCTCTTTATACTTTTACATTTTACCAATCTATGTCCTTTTCAAAATATTATTACCATGTTCTCTATAATTTTCTAATACAAAAGCAATATAACATAATTATATATAACAAAATTATATACCTTTAAAAAATATTGCTTATAACAGACTATAATATACATTATGTTCAAGTACATCACATATTTCAAAAAAAAAAAAAAAATTAATGAACATAACACATGTCTAATAATGTGTTCTATATACATACATACGTATAATTATGTTTACTTTAATATAACAACTATTATACATTAAAAACCTCTTTTGGTATAAAATATATAACATTAAAATATAACATAATTTATGTAGAGTGTATACATACTATATTAATGAGTATCTCCACAACGTAGTAGATACATAACATTAGAAATATTCGTAAAAAAAACAAAAACAAAAAATACTCACCAAACCCACCATCCACCTTTTCCTATCCTTTCCAATTCATGTATAACAACATCCTTTAAAGTAGTCGTTGTCGGCTTTATATCTGTTATTACTTTTTTATCATCAATACTTTTCTCATCAGGATTATTATCCTTCTTACTGTCATTGTTCATATTTGACATTTTTGATTTTTTTTTCTCCTTCTCCTGATTTTATTTTCTTATTAGGTTATATTATATACTTGAGTATATATCACTATTTTATTATAGTTCGAATACTTTAAATTTTTATTAAATTACCACTTTTATATTTACCACTTAATATTTAAACACTATAAAAATATAAATTTTGTTTTCTAAATTGTAAATATTACAAAAAAAAAATTTTACCCAAAATTATATACACACTTATTAGATATATATAAAAATTTTCATATAGTTTTCAATTTTATTTTCCTATAACACTTATAATTTTAAAATATAAGAGAAGAAATGTGTATACGAGTATGTATTTTTAAAAATAGAATTTTACATTATTTCTCATATAAAAACATTTTATAAATAATTTCAACACACTCAAAAAAAAAAAGCATGTTTTACCACATGTTTCGGAAATTCATAAGAGAAAATGCAGAAATATAAGTAGAAAAATTACAAAATGAAAATTTTAATTTAATTTTAAATATTTTATTCTTAATAATTAATTGATTTAATAAAGAATTTTTGCTATTTAACGAAATAAATTTTATAATTTCACAAATAATTTTTTATTACAAGCAAATTTTCATTTAGAAAATTTAAAAATGCAAAATTTTTATTTCTATAATTTTAAAATGTTTTAAAAATAAATCAACAAACAAAATTGCAAAAAAAATTTTTTTGAGAAATTTTCTTTTTGCATCTGTCAAAAATTATTTGCTCTTCTCCCAAATTTCTTTTAAAATTTTTCACAATAAAATTAATTTTTTTTTCCTATTTTATTTCAAAAAAGTTTATATATATATTTTTTTTTTTTGAATAGGATAATATTATTATTTTTTGTTTTTTAATTTATAAAATAAATTATTTTTTTGAAACAACATTCCTAATTGAATGCTAACTATGAACTGCGCAAAGCTTCACAATTATATCAAAATTTAAATGCTCTCTATTTAACAGAATGTTGAGTAGAGTAGAGTAGACAGCAGAGTTATTTTCATTTCTTTTCTTTTTTTTTACATTGTTTATGTGTTTTCGTTTTTACGTTTTTTTTGTATTATTTTTGATTTTTGTTTTTCAAAATGAAAAGTAAAAGCGAAGCGGGTAAAAGCGGGGGAAAGCAATTATGTATACTCATATAATATAATATGAAGAAATTTGCTGAAAACTTTAAAAAAAGAAATGTGTACAATATGAGGGTACCACGAGTATACTCGCTCTACTCGATACCACTTACATATGAATATGCAATTAAATTATAATACAACAGCTAATAGCGCACAACGTTGAGAAAGAATAGAAAAATGGTAGCAGAAAAGCAAGAGAAGATAAAGTATAAAACATAATATATGAACTTACGTATACATATTTTAACACCATAATATAATGTTGCTCTTTATATAAATATAACTAATAATGTAATTATAGAATAATAATGTTATGTGCATACATATCTAAATTAAAATATTTACATACATATATTATTCATATGTATGTATATATGTATGTCTTATACTAATATATTAGTGTATATGCATATCAGCATTTATTTATTTATATTTTGGAACAACAAAATTAAGTTAAGGACTGTACTTTAATACGCCATCTATATTCAATTTCATATAATATAAAATCATCAAAATTTTAGTTATCAATGTTATAAATATAAATGTTAATACTATTGTTTTTGAGTACTGCTTAGAAAAATTGGAGAAATTCTTTAAATTTATTAATGTATATATGTATCTACATAATGTACTTTTAATATGAAATTTTTCGGTAATAATCATGTTTTGACCAAGAATGTCCAGCAGTTTATATATATATATATATGATACAGTATATTATGTAGTATTTACATCCTGCATAAATAAAATAAATTTAATATAATTGCTATTACTTAACCATTAACATGTATACATATATATATGTATACATGGGAGAAGTAAAATGTCAATTAAATTTTATATGTGGAGATGATCTTTTAGGAGTCTATTTTTATAGCTCCATGTTGCTATAAATTCGAAATTCATTTTTATTATCCTATTTTTTTATAATTTTATGAAATTGCATATTAATAAAATATTAAAAATTGCATATTAATTAAATTGCACTGATTAAATAATTATACCAAAAAAAAAATAAGTATACTTATTTTAGAGTGCCTGTACAACTGTATATATAATAATAGATATGTAAAATGTATACTAACTTATGCATTTTAAAATCACAAACTCCTTCCATCTTTTCATTTTTTACATTTTCATATTCACACTTTTCTCCTTTATTTTAAGAAAATTTCTAGAAAAGTTGAGAAACGAAATGTACTCCTATACAATCATTTAAATCAAATTAATTTTTTTTTCCTATTTATAACACCCGCATCATCTTTAAATAAAAAATGCAATTCTAATAAGATTAATTTGTTTGCTTGAAACAACAAAAAATTATTGTTGAACTGAAGAGAATAATGTTGATGAATAATTCTTATATTTATTTATTTATATACGTAAATCTCATAAAAACTCATAAGGACCTTACACAACTCGAATTAAATAAAAAAAAAATTTTTGCCAAAAACATTTCCATATAGTAACCATAATTACCCATAGTAACCACAAGCAACATTATTTTAGAAAAATGTTGCTAAAACATTAAAAATTTTATATGTTGATAAAAATTTATTATGTTGTTAGGAAATAAATTATAAACAAAATTTAAATTTGAAAGTAAGTGTGGTCGTTCTGTTCTGTTTTCGTTCAAAAATTTTCTTATCAATTTTATTATTGCATTATACATAAAAAAATAATTATATCTTTAATAATATAACATTTTAAAATTCTCTTATATACAACACACTTCTTATTTTTCCCCTTTACATTTTCATAATAAATTCTCAACCCGAATACCTTAAATACAATATAATTATGTATTTGTTTAAGTACCAACCAAATTTTATTTAAAACAATGTCATGTGTTCAAATACATTATTAATTATACAGTTCTCCATATGAATAACATGTGGAGAACACACACAAAACAACTATGAATATATGAACATAATGTTATATATAGCTACATATAATGCATTGTATCTTATTATATATTTACATATAACTATTGAATATTATAATGTTGATTAGATGTTATGTTATACGTTGCCTATACAAATTAATTTCTATAAATTATATTCATATAATTACATACATTTACATACATATGTGAGTACATATGTATGTATGATAGAATACACAAAATTTCTTCTTAAATCTGGTGACATTATAAATAAAGTAAAGGTACATAAAGCATTCCATAAAGCATGTGTACAAAAGAGTACAAAAATGAGTACGAATAATGTGCATGAATGCATAATTTTATAAAGCCGACAGCAAAAAGTGAAAATATTAAAATAGATTATGTATATTATGTATATAATATGTATGTATTCACACGAGATTCATTCACACATGGTTAGAAAAAAAAAGAGTACATAATTATTATGTACATATAATGTATCTAAAATAGAAAATATTTTAAATAATACAAGAAAAAAGAGAAAGAATAATAAAAAAATTTTACAGTGTAAATTTCAAAATAAAAGTATGTATACAAAGAATAAGACAAGTAAAAATGACGAAGACCCACATTATAAATACATAATAACAAACAAAAAAATAACAGAAAAATAAATAAAATTAAAATACATATTAAGTAAATAAAAATTGTATTAAATAAAAAAAAAATATACAGAAAAGTAAAAAAAAAATTTTTTTGTGTAAATAAGTAAAAGAAAATTGTACCAGGCTAACATAAATTTAAAAAAGGAAAAAATACGAGAGGGTTTCTTCTCCATATGTCTTCTTTTTCTTTCTTATTAAATTTTTATTGGTAAAATCAATTTACTACCATAAATGATATTATTATATATAGCATACATGATAACATATGTATAACATGAGTAGTTATGAGTAGACAAAATATACGTAATATACATACTTATGTATATACAAACATATATGAATATGCACACAATATCATGCATACCTTGTACATGTTGTACTTACAATTAAAATACGGTTATGATTTTTTTATTTTATATAAAAAATAAAATTGAAAGTATCATTTAATTCGATTCAATTTTATAATATTCAATTTTATTATAGTTCTTAGCAATAACACAAACCAGTCATACGTTTTGTGATTCGTGTCTATCATAACTTTTTTTTTTAAATTGCTTTTTATTTATTTGATTCATTCACTCATAAATTTTCAAAAATCTATTTATAAAAGAAATTTATAAAAGAAAACAAAAAATATAAAAGAAAACCTCTAATATAAAATTAGAAGCTTTAAAATTTAATAGGCAAATATATGTATAAGATATATTACGAATAAAATCCAAAATAAAATGTTAAACTGCTGTAAAATTATAAGGTCTGCATTAAAATGATGAAAAATTTTAAAATTTTTCATTGGTTTGCAATAATCTCACATTCATACCTAGGTTCAGTTTACAAATTCTGCTAAAAGTCTGGAAAAAGCTTGCGAAACAATGTGTCTTCGTTAGAAAATTGCAAAAGTTAGAAGCACTGTTAATCTTTTGTCAGAAATCAAGTATGGGAATTTATATATTTTTTTGAGCTTTTTGTAGATTTTTTAAAATATGGTTTAAAAAAAATATTATAATAAAATGTTAAAAACGAACAAACACATGCAAATGTAACTTTACAAAATATTCATACATACATATAAACAGGCATATTTGCATACTTTTAGGGATCACTTTTAATATTAAAATTGTGTTGTAATTGCAATATAAAATCATATACCTCAATGTTGTTTGAATGAAATACAGAAATCTTTTGTATTCTTTAGTCTTCGCATAGCGCTATTATCGTGTTGATTATAAAAGCACATGTAACTCGTAAAAATAGTAGACAATTTGTATAATTTTCAACAGTATGATTTATACATAATATAATATGAAGAGAAAAGCGTGCTTTATAATTAAAATTTCTTTAATTCTTTCTTCCACATTTAATCATTTAAATATCAAGTTATTCTTGTGGATCCATGATCATTTCATAATTGAAATTCAAAGAGAAAAGAGTATAAAAAGTGCACTGTTATATTTTCTATTTTATACATTAATTAGCAATTAAGTTAATTAAAAAAAATTTAAAAAAAAAAATATTTTTACCT